GAAAAAAAACGCATCTAATTTGGAATATGGTGCTTCCTACTTCAACACACTATTTAAGATACTCTGCCAATTTTAGCGTCCTACCAAAACAAGTTCATATACCTCATCAAAATTACAAAACACTTTTTTGTACTAAACTATGATATGCTATCCATCCAGTTGGTAAGTCAGCAAATACTGGTTGTAAGTCAGCAAACCCCTAGTTTTGTCATGGTTAACTCCCAACATTTTGTTGGATCGACTACGATGGCAACGATAGCTACATTATGTATCCAATGGCAATTTAAAATAGCTATGGAGCATCACCATGGTTAGGAGGTACATCATCTATTTCCATGCTTGATTTTCCATCATTTTCCATGATTCGCTATGTGTCAACTCTAGTTTTCCATTAGTTTCCCAAGGATTTGCTGCTTAGACCATGTGAAACATGTCCGAAATCTCCACGATTTTTTTCGTGACATCTCCCAGATTTCGTGACCGGATCCCTCTGGTAATGACTAACACTTCGCTATTGAAAATACCACACATTTTTAGTTAACGTTGATTTACCTATTCAAAATGGTGATGTATGTGATGTTCTATAGTTATGTAAACCGTTTACCAAGAGGCTAGGTTTTTGTCACAGTTTATTCAGTGAATTCCCATTCTCTACTCGCTCCTGGTCGCCACTAGATGCCCGGCTGGCGTGGCGAATCTCCATGCCCGCATGGCATGAGGGCATCACCTAAAATCAAGGTAGGAAAGTGATGGGAAAATCCATGAATTATGGGAAAACCCTGTCAATGGGAATTTCAGGATCCTAAATTGGAGGTACCTACCATATATAACGCGCATGTAAGGCCTATGTAAGGGAATATCCCCACAAAATATGGCCTTATATGGTACAGTACCTCCAATTTAGGATCCTGAAATGGCCATTGACCCTGGAAAGGCCATAAAAATCAACTATAATACAGTATCTATAATTGGAGCATATTGGAGCTTTGAACTGGGAAAACTGTGGGAAATCCAATCAAATAGTCAATGGTTAATTAGGATATTATGGGGATATGATGGCTAATGCCATGAACAGTATTGAGATTTACTGGGATATTCAGTGGAATAACCTCCGTCATCGAACATGCCTGGAACATCCCTCATTTACAAATGATTTTCCCAGCTAAAGATTAGATGCCAACAGCTCCAAAACCGCTTCCTCCTAACCACCTGATAGTAGTTGATGCTAAACAAAACACACACTTACTGGTGCTAAACGTAGGGAATGGATGGGTTGCTGGGGGAATGGGATGATTATTGATAGTTATTGTGGATCATTCCTTCATTCCTTACTCAGCACCAGTAAGCAAAACATGAACTAACCATCATGAATTTCACCAGCATCCAACAACCATACTGAGGTTCCAACGTTGGCACCGATACGATAGTGTCGGGCCTCTGGAAGAATAGGCCAGTGGTATCTGCCGGTATCCGCCATATGTGGACAGCAAATTTATGGGATTTAACATGATTTAACCATCAAACATAGAATAAATTTGATTCTAATCAACGAACATTGTAACATGGCGGAAATTGGGATTTAACCAAACGGAGGAATGCAGGGATTTAACCAACAAGGACCAACAAACACTGACAAACACACACACACGTGTATATATATATATATGTGTGGGTCTTGACTGGATTGGTTTCTTGATAAACTATAGTACTTCATTTACCTGAAATATGGTCATGTCGGGACATCTACCCTTACATTTACTATGATGTAATGTGATTTATGTCATGACGTTTGCTCAAGTGGCACAGAGCCGAATTAGGGGACTTATTCACCAGGCTCATGTGCTTCCACTTTCTGATTGCTATGGTCTTCGAAGTAGATTGAGTTATATTATGTTATATGTTTTTTTTCGTGGAATCAGCTTCATTTATGCAAGACTATGCAAATTATCCAACATGAGGTCACTGATGTGGTCAACCAGCTTGTAAATCATCCCCAATTAATTACCACGTTTCCCCACGTTTCCCAAAGTCCCAGAGTCTCGGCTAAGCGGAGACTGCAGGATTTTCCTGTCGTCCCAAAACTGCCTGAAAGTTCACAGGCTCCTAAGGCTACGCACGGTAGACAAACGTGGAGAACTGGACTGAAGGATCTCATCAGTTGTCTGCATCAAATGTTTCCTCATTCTTATTGGTACACACATCGTCCAAAATTGCAGAGTCACGCTAGAGGGCCTCAAGTGTAATGGATGGATGGCTTTGTCTTGCGATTGTAGTGCTCCCTGAATCCATTTACTGAAGCTTTTGGTGCGGGCTACAAAGTCTGCGGATTTCGTGTGTGCTGACGCGTTTTCCCATTTCTTTCGACTCTTGTTATACCTCACTCCTGCTGAATTAGTCTGATACTCGTACAAAACGTTGAGCTGAAACCATGATATAGCCTGGACTGGCTCCTGTGAGTCACACACAGTTTGCAACCAGTCTGCGATCTTTCGGCCCTCTTCACACTGATAACTGTCTGCAAAGCTCTCCTCTGTCAAAGAAGAAAAATTGACTTCCGCAACCTCATTCACATTGATTCGGCTTGGATGCTGTCTATCTCCCTTCCCTTCTTCGGTTGGTTTGCTCTGAACAGCACATTGCGCAACTGCAATCATGACATCATGTATGCGGTTTCGCATGATATGAATGGCTTCAAGATCTTGGTGTAACTGGCTCCACAACTCATAAAGTTTCCCATGACGGCTGAACACTGTTTGAGCCAATCTGTCTGCAGCATCATTACCCTGAAAAAGCCATGCTTCAGCATCATCCTTGGCAGTGGCTGGGTCTTGGTGACTGCTCAACTTAACAATTTGAAACAACTCCCCAAGTTCTTGGACCAGCTGTTGTGCTACCATCCACAAGTCTGCATTGGTGGCGTTCGGTTTGATTTTGACTTTCCTGCTGCTGAACTTGCTAAGACGCTTGACAACTGTGTTGTTGTCACACCACAACCTGACTGCACGCTTGTGATGAAGACCAAAACGCATGGCACTGATGGCGACAGTTCACCACGCAAGGCTGTTTGTGTCCAACCAGGGACTAAACCATTTGAAACAGGCCAAAACTGCTGAGAGTCAACATCACCCAAAATTACCCCCCATGAAGCTAAACGACCCTGACTGCTGGTCGGGGCAAGGCAGCCTCCATCTGTGAACATTTCCAATACTGATGGCAACACTAGTGGGCATACATATTCTTGATGCTCATCTGGTATCTGCAAGCAGGCTTTTTGGAACCTGGGCAAGCTCGGAGGTTCCGGAACCCAACCGTGAGCAGAGACGCACTGCGGCAGTGCTAAAATACCATCAATTTGCTCTTGGGGCATGTTCCTAACAGCTGCAAAATGGGGACATAACCACTGGCGATGCAATTGGGAGTCAGGCTGGGAACAAAACTTACACAAGTCAGCCCCTTCAACCCCTCTGTTTTTCTCATGATGTTTCTGTCTGTCAGCGGTAAAGAACGTACCATTCAAACTTGCTCTGAGCAACGCTTGTTGTTGTGGATCCTTCTTTTTGAAGGTGACTATGGTTAGGGCTGGTGACATCCACTTCATCGCTTCCATTGTCTTGCGTTCTGACGCTTGACCCTGAACTCGCTGCTGCCACGCTTGGGACAACCTGGCATGTAGTTCTTGGACGGGGCAATACATCAGGTCAATCGGTCTATTGAGTTGATCCAGAAAGATGCAACCATGGGACCACGACCAGGCAATCTGATGGAGCCTGGCAACTAGCACTGAAACAGGTCCCGGTCGGGGAACCACTGTCTTTCTCGGCAAATGCCATTCGGCAAGGCTGAAGGTCGCCATGTCAGGGTGGGGGAACATGGCTCTGAACATGCTTACGGTGGCAAACAGTGCATGGTATTGGGGATCAGCATGAGTGCTCTCGACTAGGCTTAAATGTACTGGCGGTGAAGTGCCAGCACTGTGTTCTCCCAGCCCTTGCACTGCCCCGGTTCGGAGCTTTTGGAAATGCTCTTCACCCAAGTGTACGGATGCTATGCCATGTAAACATGAGGTCCATGCTTTAGTCCTTAACGCTTGAACTTTCTGACGGTAAGGGGCAAATGACCTGGCCAATCGTCCCCACAACTTCTTGATGCTGGCACACCTTTCTGTGATTGAACTGTTAGTTACAACTTGACTGTACTGCACATGTCCCCCTAGGTCTCGTGCTGCTAGCTTAACCTGGAGCTGCTGGTCACGGAAACTTCGTCTTTGGACGGCATTGACAGACCATGTGTAACTCTTTGAGTCATCGATTACCATGTCCATGGCATGGCAAAGAGCATGAAGGCCATCAAGTGCTTGGACTACAACTTCTGCATTGGATCCCGTTATTTCCCAATTGTCCACAAAAGTCCACAACATGGCAGCTGGATATCTACGCAACATGTATTGGTGAACCACAATGTTGGCAGCTAGCATGCTAGTGACCGACAAACTGCAACCCTCTGCAAACCTTGTTGTGGACCGGATTGGGGGTCCTGTGCATTGATGGATGGTGAATCTTCTTTCCAAGGAAATCAAAGCTTTTGACCAGGCCCTCAGGATGGGTGGGGCAACATTGAGGATCCTCATGAAGGCCATCACTGGTACCCTAGGCAACATGTTAAAGGCTTTCTCAAGATCAACAACCCCTCCCGCAAGGTCGGTTTGGGCAAATTGCGCTATTTCAATGTTTGCCATGATATGATACCAAATGTCAGCTGCCTGTCGGCCTGGTACACTGCCCGCACATGTCGGGGGCGCCAGGGGCTGCAAGTGGTTCAAGATCTGGCGGGCTCTGATCGAACTCCAAGTGCGGAAAATTACCGGTAGGATTGTGATTGGCCTATAATGCTTTGTTTGGGATGCGGTTGGGATTTTTGCAAGTGCTGCCACTATCCCTAGCACTAGTTGTCTAGGCCATGAAGCTCCCATTTCAATCTCGTTCAACATGTCGAGCAAAGAGTCAGTTACCTGGTCAGGCAGGTGGAGGAGGTCTTGTCTACTTACCCCGTCCGGACCTGTGGCTGCATGTTTCTTTTTGGATTTCAGCGCTCGGAGCCATTCTTCCTTGGTGATCCGTTGGCACGGCATGGGCTCTGGGCGGGGCAAAGCAAGTTCTGCAAACTGCACAATGGGATCCCATCGGTCGGGGTCAACATTAAAGTGCCTATCCCACCTCGAGCGCCACTCATCACCAAACTTTGCAAACAGGTCAGTGAGCCTGCCTATATAGTTTTCCTGCTCAAGGGTCATACCTGGCTGGAGATCGGTGAGGTGATCAAGCCAAAGTTTACTGTCCTCTGCTTCGATGATGGTGTATGTACCTGTGTCATTGTGGACCGGCTGGGATCGATCCCATGGAAGGTCTTGATGGACAATCACTGCCGATTCGTCCTCATCAATCTCGGTGACAGAAGCTTTGCGATGGTCTATCAGCATCTGGACTGGGAGTGGTTTTTCATCTTTCAAGTCTTGGAAGATGACTGCCGTGTCATCTTTCCTTCTCTGTTTGGCTGCTGTTGTGCGTTGGGCATTCAAGGTCTTTTCAAAACTGGTCAACTGTTGATGGAAGGCTTGACATAACCGCGTGGCAACAGAATTGTCAGGCAGTGGCATTGTGTGAGTCAGGGCGACTCCTGTCTGTTCACTCATCCATTGAGGGAAACCGGGGGCAAAACCCGTGGCATTCACAATGCTCTGCCACAACTTGGACCTGTGGTCATGGGCTGTGGGGGTATCATTACAAGCTTGGACAAGTCTGGCATAGTTGACAAGTCGTCGGTATTGACGCACCCATCGGCAATGCTGTTGGTCAAGGCCATGAAAACTTGGTTGGAACTCCCCTTCCCGTGATTTCTTAACAGGAGCTGAATGTTCCTGCATCCATACCACTTCAAGTTGCTGACCACGTCCTTTCATGTTGTTAGGCAATGGTCCCTTCCCTTTGGCACGCAAGGCTTTGTCAACAGCTTGTTCAGCTTGTCGCATGAGATTGGCATATTGGTTGGTAGGGTCTGCATCTGGTGCAGGGGGTTCAAGCTGTGCTGCAACATCAGCTTGGGTCAACACGGACCAGTCAATTGCAGCAGGGCGTTTCCACAAGGGCAGTAAAGGTGGGTTTCCTAAAGGATGGAACCGGGCAATCAGGATCGAGTGATCAGCAAACCAATCATGTTGGACTTCAACGTCTTTCAAGTACATGGCAAGTTGGGGGCTGACGTACAAATGATCCTTGGTGGTTTTTTGCTTGCACGTAGCTTCAACTGGTTTGCCCAATTTTTGTTGAGCCCAAAATTGAACGTTGACCCATCCTGCATCAGCCCAGTGGCTCATATTTGCTAATGCACCGTCAGGCTGATTGAAATCACCACCTATAAACCGCAACCCGTGGCTTTGATGCACCAGGCGTGAAGTGACATGGGAACAAATTGCGTCAGTCTTTTCTCGGGTGACAAGGGTTTCAGGATGAACTGCATGTCCATAGATGACACCCCCTTGTATCCACCTCTCACCTGTTTGAAAGCAGGCAACATGAAAACGGCTCTCTCGCCACGCTGTTTCTGGCCACGTGGCTGTCATCGCCCTGTTCGGCGCTGTCGTGATGAATCCAACTCCACGATGTTTACCTCCAATTGCAGAGGGAGTATGAGATCGCAGCGGCACTGCTGCTCCTAATTGGGCTTGCATTCCAGTTTTATGGAAATGGAGCTGGCGTTTGAATTTGACCATTCCTGGTGTTGACAAATGCGTTTCTGACACCGCCCACACCGTTTGACCGTTGGTGGCTTTCGGCAGGTTAGCGATGACTGAAGCTTTATCCAAAAGTCCTGTCGGATTGAGGCATCCTATCAAACACTCTGACTGAGTAGGTCCCGGCACAGTTGCCTCTCCGATCCTACACATGCAAAGAAAGAAACATAGGATGAGCCGCAAAATGCATTTGGCTCCTGTGCGTTTGCTAGATCGGGGATGGTTGGATAGTCATTCATTGGTACGCTGTCGTTTGCTAAACAGCTGTTCGATCCTCTGCATTTGCTGTTCAAGCTTGGCCTCAAGGGTGTTCTGGAAGATCCCTTGTTGTTGATCAACTTTGGAGTCCAGGGCCGTGAGCTGGTTTTGCACAACCTGGTGCTGACGGGCTGCTTCACTGTGATTGGACTGGACTGTTCGACCAAGCTGGTCAAGGCGTTCTTCAAGCTCTGCGACCTTGGCATCGGTGTCTGGCATCATGGCATCACTTTGCTTCATCTTGGACAGGATGCTTTGTTCCAGACGAGTCTCTAGAGATGCAACTTGGCTTGTTGGCATTTCTCTCGGGTTCGGACGTGCCCAAGGGTCATAGTGGATCCATGGATCCTCATTGGCATTTGGTGTGGCACTGGCTTGCAACGCCTGGATTGTTCTTGACGAGGCCAGAACTGCTTGGGGTTGCTGCTGCATTGGGACACCTTTCTCCTCCGGGGAGATCAGCACATCTCCATGAGACAGTTGGAATACCCAATGCGACGGTGGCTCTGCTGCTTGGACTACCCACATTACCCCTGATCTGTCCTTGGCTTGGCCTTGTGGTGCAAGTGGTCTCGCTTTCCACCCCCATTTGGAGAAAACATGAACCAAGGACTGCTTCGTAGAACCAAACGGCATCGGGCCTACTCGGTACTTGGTGAGTTCTGTACCTTGGATGTACACAAGATCCGGACGATGGATCCTGTGCAGGGCCTCAGCTTCCTCATTCAAGACACGCAATCCATAGCGGTCCGCTTGTCTGACAAGCGTTGTTGGTGTCTTGGAGGTCTTCTGGCAAACCTGGGCTTCTCCAAAAGTTTTCCTAGGTAACCACACAACCTGGAAGGAATCATCAGGGTGGCGGCCGTCAGGTGACCTCGGCTCAATGTATGTTCCATTGCATCCATTGGCTTTGGCAATGTCATCTTGAACCTGTTGCTTGATGCGTAAGTTCACACTGAATACGTCAGAGTCTTCTGGGGGAACCTTTTGCATCTTAACAGTCATGAACTGACGATCCCAGACATCGATGACATCAGACTGTTGCAAGTGTCGGAATGGTTCTTGCTGCATGAGGCACCTGACAGGACTGCGTACAAACTCCGTCCATGGTCCAGTGAACTGGTCTTTGAAAATCAGAACTCGAATCACTTGGTTGGGGACTTCTGGAACTGCAATGGTGTGAGCTGGCACGTTACGCAAGACAGATTGTTGACCAATCTGCACAACTGCAACTTTGACAATCAGTGGGTCCTGCGTTTCTCGGCTTTGGACAGGGACTTTCATGACTTGGTGTTGCTGCGGCAGTCGTGGGTCGTCAAACTCAAGAACCAGCAATGCAACTCCATGTGGGCTGACCGCTTCTGTTAATTGGAAGTATGGCATGGCTTCAGCAATGTTGACGATTGCAACACCTTGGCTACCGGGGGCAATGTCAGCTGCGGTGATCTGGCTAAGCTCAGTGCCATCGGATTGCTTGAAAACGGCATGGGGAACTTCCAACATGTCAGCTCGCAGTTGCAAGATTGGCTTCTTCTGGTTCTTTGCTTTAGACTTATTTGCTTTCGTCCCCACTGGCGTCTGCAGCTTGGCTTTGGCTTGGATGAGATTTTTTTAACTCATCGGATGTCACTATACGGATCGGTGGTCGTTGCAAACTGGCTCGAGACTTCAAGTCAGCCCAAGGATTGGGTGATGCCAGGATCTGTTGGACGGTTTGGTTGCCCAGTGCAGTGATGAGCTGTTCTGCACACTCTCGGCTTCGGCTGTGGGCAACACCATGTTCAACAACCAGCTTCTGCAACTGTTCACGCTGTCCTTGCATACCTCCTAAGAGTAGCGGTACCGTGACAACACTCTCAGCTGAACCTGTGTTCTGCAAATCAATGGAGAAGAGGCCTCTCCACTGGGCTGCTTGTTCCTCTGAGAAGGGCACATTGGTTGAGTCATCCAACAAGATTGACAAAATCCATCCCACTGCTTGAAAGCCACAATCGGCTTTGAAAGCTGACGGCATGACACTGGTGGCAAATTGGAAAGCTTTGGCTCCTACTGTGGATTCAATCAACGGTCGCATCCATGTTAGATCTTCAGGCGTTGTCCACAAATGGATCATGATTCCCTGGACTCGGATGACTACTGGGACCCAGTGATCACCTGTGAAGATGACAAAGGCTTTGGCATTGCCCTCAGGGTCTGACCCCGCTTCGGTGGCGACTTTCAGCACATATTCCGTGAGAGCTGTGTGCTGATCAGGGCGATCATGCAGTTGGAGAACTCCGTACATGGTTCCTGGCTTGTAGCATTCTAGCATGTAGAGGTAGTACTCCATTTCATCCATTGATACCCATCCCTCCTGAGCCCAGAGAAGTTGACGTCTCGTCTTGCCAACTAGGCACGGTGTTCTGCTACCTGTTGGTTCCTCATAGGCGGCATGATTGATATCATGGTCACAAAGCATGTACCACCCTTTGTGTTGAATGAGTGCATCACTAGCCAATGGTGTGCCAAAAATTGTGGTCATACGTGCAAAGTTCTTTTTCCCAAAGTCTTTGTTGGTTGCTTCAATGAGCTGAGCAATCTTCGACCCCGGTGGAACTTGTGTGATGAAGAAACTCTCACCAGGCTCCACAACATGCACCGTCAACGGTTCACTTGCACCCAGATTGTCAGCTTCGCTGGGGACCAGGGTTGCTCCGGGATGCACCTGCTGGACATGCTGCAAGTGGTCGTCATGCGGAGAGTGACTTTCACTCTCATCATGATCTTCAGGTGGAACTGATTCCTGGTCATTGGTGCAAATGGGTTCAATTTGTGTGTCACGGATGGACTTCGTTCCGTCACTCAAAGCATTGGCTATTTCCGCTTTCTCAGGTTCAACTTGATTGACACCACTCTTGTGATACTTGATGGACTCGGTGGGCATGGCTTGTTTTCGTTTCACTGCAAACCCTGGTACTGCCCCTGCTTGGAAATACGGTGTCTCCTGAACGGTCATGGTCGGATGCTCAAGTTCGGCAATGACTTGCTGGTCAAAAACTGGATCTTCATAGAAGAAAGCATCATGGCCTACATGCTGCGCTTGTTCTGGCAAGGGTTTTGACACATTGGGCTGTCCTGGACAATCCTCGAGGTGAAAAGGCAATGGGTGCTTTTCCGAAATTGGTATTGGCTCTTCATCACTGCACTCATACGGGTCACTTCGGCAGTGCACATTTTGACTCTCACTGTCATTTCCAGAAGCTTGGGACCCAGCAGGCTCAGTCATTTGAACTCCCTGCCCTTTGTCTTCTGCACACATTGGGGAGGGGCCCCCACACCCTAAGCGTGGAAGGGGCATGGCCTGAAAGAGGGTGAGAGGGACATGGGTGCCGCTAATGCTGGCTGCTGTCATTTCATGGGTGGTCTCACTGGCATCATCTTCGATTCGGATTGGTCCCCACCTTAGTGCAGCATGGCTTGCTGCAACTGGCTCATTATGGGATGATATGGCCACAGCTTCCGGGTCACTGTGCATCTGTGCTACATCAACTTTGGCTGGATCACTTGGACTCTTTTTCTGGGTTGGGCCCCCACACCCTAAGCGTGGAAGGGGCATGGCATGAAAAGGGGGGGGAGGGACATGGGTGCCCAATTGGCTTACGTCAGATGTGCCGGCATCTTTCGCACCATTGCAGTCCTGCTCACTACTAGGCATCTGGGCTACGACACTTGATCTTGCATCAAATCCGGAAAAGGCCTGGTGCATGTGCAAACTTGCTGGCAATAGTGGGGATTGGCTGGCTTCCCCCTTCGGTTCTGCATCATTCTCACTTGGGTCCTTACAGTCCTGGGCAACTGTATCTGGCGAGATTTCTCTACTGACACCTCTCAATGCGGAGGGGCATTTGGATGACTCCCGATGGTTCGAGCTTTGTGGTCCCTGAAAAATGCTCGGTCGAGCTGGCTTGACGTCCCCTGTGCGTGACTTTTTCATTGCAATTTTGGCCAAGAGGCTTGCAAAAGTGTTGGACTGTGTTGGGCCGTCTTTACCTACATCAGTTGGCACCTCGGCAATGCACGGTGCGGTGGCATGATCTTGAGTTGGCTCTGACACTTTCTCAACTGTCTCCCTTGGGGATTTGGTTTCAGGTGCAATGTCTTCAGGGAGTCCACTAGGGGTCATGTCTCGGGTGGGGCCCCCACACCCTAAGCGTGGAAGGGGCATGGCATGAACAGGAGGGGATAGGGATGCATCATGGGATTCAGCATGTTCAGACTCAACAGCACCTGTTTCCTCATGAACCTTAACTTCATCGTTCCTACTGGATTCATCTGATTCAAAGGGCTGTTGGATCCCCTTGTGGGTGAATGAATCCGGTGGCGCAAAAATGCATGGTGTGTCAAGGCTCTCAACTTCCTGCTCAAAAATCCGCATGGATTTGGTGGTCCGCATTGTTCCCCACCATTCATCTCTCTCCTGCAAGAGCTGGCGGCAGATGTTGGCATGGACATGACGTGGGTTGACGTCTGTGTCATGCAAGCCTTTTTTGGCAACATTAAACATCATGTTGGCAAGTACCCATGCTCCTTGCAATGGGGACGCTAGTTGGCCTACCCCAGCAAGCTCCAAACGGAGTGGTGTTTCATCTGAGGGTGCAACATGAGATGGCATGAGTCCATTCAACAGTGCAACTTCTTGGGGGTGAGGGTGTCGCATTTTTGACACTTTTCGATTCCCCAAAACTTCTTCTTGGTCCATTGGAATTAGAACTGCATACAACCCTTTCCGGTCAATCCTTTCCTGACTGAACCCTCGTGACCTGCACTTGCACAAACATGCCAACACCTGTGAACCCCATGAATGTGTTGCTGTATTCATGGCTTTGTACACATCAATGACATTGGGACCAATGCCGGCTGGGACATCATGAAAACACCTGAGCTCATAACTGGACAGGACAAGTTGTTCCAATTCGCTTTCGGACATCGGTAACATTTGGCTGATCAAGTGCATGACACTGGGGACAAATCTCATGGACGGCATCGGTGGAATGGACTGGACAGACAAGGCCGGATGTGCAACTACTGCCCACCATCGCGTACGCATGGCAGGCCATGTTTCATGAAGGTGCAAAACATTTTGGTGGAGTGTCCACCCTGTCTGCAATGCAAAACGGCGCAACTGCTGTTGGATCCATTCGGATTTCAGGGCTTCCTTTGTACATTCCAACAGGATAGCAAGGCTACCGAGAAAAAAACCCATCATCAATATTCCAGTGAAAGAAGCACTTCGGGGGTCTTGACCCTGTTTCCCATCCCCAAGGCCTGAAAATGGCTGACAAGACACTCCTGCTGCTAACACATGAGACTGCTGTACACACTTTGACACCTCAAAAACGGTATGCATGTCAGCTACATTCCCTCGGATGCATGGCTTGGTAGTGCGGGCTGCACTCCACTGGTGAAAAACTTCGTTCGATTCGACATGACACAAAACCCTGGCACCACAGGCTTCATACCCTTTGGCCACTGCTCCAAGGCCGCTGCAAGCATCAACAATGTGATACAAACCCTCCATCTCAGCGACTGGTCTCGAAAAAGATCGAGTGTTGGGGCCCATTCGAATCCACCACTTGCCATCACAGTTTTGCAAACATCCATCTAAAATTGTGTGGGTCTCATACCCTCGCTGAAGGATACAGTCAGTGAAGAACTGTTGGCGATTCACCAATGTCTGACATAGGTGCTTCCCTGGTTGATAAACCACCGTGGTCAAAACAACTGAAATCTCTGGTTCCAGAACTTTCCCAAAACATGGATCCAAATCCCAGGGTGAACTTACCATTGCATGCGCGTCCCCCCCAAGTGTTCGGTTTGAACTAGCTCACCAGCTGGTAGGAAACTTGGGCCCGAGCTTCCAATTAATTACCATTCCAATGGGCACTGAAAAAACCATCCCCAAAACCCCACTTTTTACGGGTTTCTGACATGGCATTTTACATGGCATGGTTCCACAAAAAAACACACATAAAAGTCATTGTATCCCAGTTGATGGATGTTGATGGATGTTATATATATGTATATATATATACCCCTCAGAAAACCCATTAGTCATCCCATTAGTCATCCCATTTTTTTCCGCAGCAAAACACCTCCAGCTCGTTCGTTTGGGGATGGCAGCCACCAGTGCCAAGCGGCCACATCTTCGACCCATCGAATCCCACGCCGTCCTGAAGCGTTGAACGCCATGTGCTGCGAAGCTGGGAGGCTGAAGGAATGTTTTGTGGTTTTTTAGAAGTGGATTTAGCTGAACAATATCTACTAACAATCAATCCACTAACAATATCTAACAATCCAATTAAAGATTAGTGCATATTGACATGTTATTGAAAGGTCAACAATATCTATCTTCAATCCATAGTGGGTTTTCATGGGTTAACAAGATGAATAGTAACTTTTGGATTGAACATGAAAAATAACTCAATGATTTTTCTTTCAATGTCTTTCCTATAAGCCTCAATTGGTGGTGTTTCGAAGTTTCAGAAGTCAACCCATTTTGCGACGATGGCTACTACTCCATAGTCTATAGTTACAATCATCATTGCTGCCGATGTCACTGAAGAATTTGCTTTCGGAATGAGGGGAGCATCCTTGCTAGTTGCTGAGACCCCAAAACTTAAAAAAAACTCTCGGAGATTCCAGCCTTTCACTTTGAAAGAGTTGAATTCCTTGTGCAAACTGCTGAATGCAAGCAAATTTGTTGAATCCCAATGTTCTGATTGTCTGGACTACTCGAGCTACCTGGAGGGGGCATCCCAGGAACTGTAAGTGGCTAATAACCACACTCCCCAGTTATACTGTGGAGGAACGCAGTTGTATGTGGGTCTTGTATGGGTTGTAAATGTAAGCCACTTATTATCTGGAACGCACATCCAGTCCGAGTAAGGCAAAGTCCAAGTAAGGCAACCACATGTTATATGGCAATGTGTCAAAACCTTGTACCCCTGGTGAACATCAAAATAGCTGGTAAATGGATGTTCATCCCGCTAAAAATGGTATGTATAGGTATTGATCCATACCCATATTGACTCTATTCTCGTGTTGGCCAAGCATTGGCAATCTTTGACCAGGATCTTAGCACCGAAACTCCGAAAAAACGAGCAGCGAGCAGCTTCAGGTCACACGAGCCATGCCACTCACTCGCTTCACTATAATGTTTCAGATCCAAGACCCTCGACGTAAAACTATCCAAAAAATGTAAAGAACTGGTGGTAACCCTTGAAGATGCTGGCAACTATCATAAATACACATTTTATCACTAGGGGACGAACCATGATGAACCCATAAATGGGGCTACCCCAATGAATCCAAACTTGGACCATGCTATTTTTTCTTATGGTTTTGTTATGGTTTTAAGGATCCCCCTTTTTAAGAAACCCCGTTTCGTTTCGCAGATATTTCGAACCTGCGGACTCGGTCGACGAGCTGGTGCTAAAAGGTCGGCTGAAGGCCTGTGTCCCAACAGAAAAATGCGCGGTTGGCCCAACTCCAGTGAAGACTTCAGGAATTTTTTTGGAGATATACCTCATGAAAAACTCAACAAATGTTTCAACAAAAGGAGGAAAAAACCTTGGTTGAATTGAAGTCGAGATATTATATAATAAGACTTCATAAAGCTTGTTCATGCAATGGCTTCCAATTCGCTGGAATGCCACAACCGGACTGGCGAACAGTGAATGAATGTCAGGTCTAGCTTTAGATTGCTTGGCTTCTACGGGTACTGTAGGAAGTTTTAAAAAAAACAAGTTGTCCTAGATAAGTAATACATATACCATATATTAATAAAATATCACATCACATCCCTCCAGCTGGTGGGTATACCATGGTATACCCCAGGTTGATCCATTTTCAGACATACCATGACATACCCAAATCAAGAGTTCAAACCCGCCCAATCATGTCATCACATCGCACCTTGACCGGCTCCTTCTCCGCCTCACAAGATCTGCCTTCCAAGAATCGAAGGCCCAAAAACGCGAAACTTCCATGACCACTGCGACATCATGTTGCCCAACAACGTGTAAGCTGGTGTGGGAAAGCAATAAATCCATACAGATCATTATAGATCTATATACATCTATATAAATCTGTTTGAAACTATATAAATCTATTGTAAATCTGTGAAACCATAAGCATCCATGTTTGCATCCATAACTTTGGGCTCCACCTGCAGCGTTCCGTCGGTTGACCGCTGTTCCTGCAGATGAACAGCCATATTGCCATGACGGATCCGGCTGGTGCTGGTATATTAATGCTAACATGACTGGGGTATATTGATGGGATCCATGTTACCATATATGGCAGCACCATGGATCCGTCATGGGTATTGCCATCGGACTATCAATGTACTATATTATCCTATATAATGCAAAATGATATATATATATATATATGTTTGGGCAGTTTGCTGAGCAAAGCTGGGGGAGCCAATTACAAGTGAGGCCCCATATATCTGGTTGCCCCTGGCGATGCAAGCAAATAAGTTTAGATAGCGAAATCATCCTACTTGGTTTGCTGGATCATAATCCATGCCAGTTGCAGTAGAATGCAATGGTTGCCTTTGTCCATTTCATGGTTTTAATCTGCAGTTGCTCATTTTTACCGTGGGTGTGTAATTCGCTTTGTAAACTCACCTAGCTGGTTGGTAACATTTGGTAACCCTATCCGTCAATGTGGTAAACCCAATAATAAATCATCTCCGAAATCACTGCAAATGGATTGTATAAAGTATACCCTCAAGTGGTAGGTTGATTATTGTCTTTACCACACTATACGGTTGAATAAATAAAGGCGCACATCTGTTTATCTTAAATACATATTTAGCAGACCCCAAGTGTCAATGGACCAATGGAATAATTCCAGCTTGCGGACCACATGTTTCCACAGCCACGATGGCTTTGGTTAGGCCTTTGATTAAAGTATCATTGTTCTTTTTTTGATTATCATTATATAGCTATAGATACACTTATATTATGTTGATGAAATCAAGCTTGACAGTTCTTACACATGAAATCAGAACAATCACCATCCCTCTAATATGAAACACCCCCATTGTATGGTTCCAATTATATGTAATTTCCCTACTAAACCATGGTTTCCGGATGTTTCCGGGAGGGTGTTCTTAGTATTAGGGTACCCTAATAGTAGCTGTTTTACAGATGTTTACTCTCCAACACATGGTGGTTTCCTAAAATAGGGGTACCCCCAAATCATCCATGTAATAGGAGATTCCATTATAAACCATCTATTTTGGGATACCCCCATTTATGGAAACCCCCATATTCTGAATTTCCATCGGTAACTTGGCGCATGCCACAGCCCACCGTCCTGGACCCTTCAGGGTTACGGCCAGTGGAAGGGGCTGCACCCTGAGAAGCCAAGGGGCTTCCATGGGGCCCATGGGGATACCCCAAGAACTGGATGATGGAAAATCATGGAAAATCCCAAACCAAAAATGGATGATGAGGGGGTTCCGGGGTAAAACCATTTTAGGTAACCTCCATGTTGAAGTTGGCCAGATTTTTTCGCGGGGGACATCCCAGATTCAGCTATTGGATTTCGGGTGTTGAATGGTTTGGGTTTGGAGGGGTACTATGGACAGATCAACCCACAGCCCTGGTAATCTTGGGAAAACCCCCAGCGATCTAGTGGATAGAAGATTGACATTGGTCCAATAAATACCAAAAATATCCAAAAATGGTTCGTGGCCTGGTAGAGAACCCAAACCGGATCTATTGCAACATCTACAATTCAGGAATGATATGCTTTCTATAGATTCTCAGTGAGTGTACTCCTGAAACTGATTTTACATTACCCTCTGGTTATGTCAAAATAGCTATTGAAAATCACCATTTATAGTGGCTTTTCCCATTAAAAATGGTGATTTTCCATAGTTTTTTGTATGTTTACCAAAGGGTAAACAACATAATCGCTACCTCCAGTGGTTGCGGAACTCAATTCGTAGCTCCACTGGATAGGAGGTAGAAGATTCAGTCATAAATAAGTTATGGCGGAATAATTAGCTCATTCACAAACCTGAAACACTAACCCAAAAATAGCTGAAACTGACAAGTTTCTGGCTGAAGTATCCCCTTCTCCCTAATAGTAAACACCCCCTGAATGGTACCAATTATGTGTAAATGTCCTACTAAACCATGGTTGCTTGGGAGTGTTTAATATTAGGGGATGGGATTTCGTTCAATCCATTTTGGCTCCAAAATAGGGGTTGGAAGGAAGACTAGTTTCCACTAAAGATGATTATTATTGTCAAGGTCTATGTTAATTTACCAGAGGGTAACCACTATCACAGTAACCACTATAGACCACAGGTAATATAGGGAAACCACCCTTAACCATTATTAACCACTATTATCCACTATCATTACTCACAACTAGCTCATTCACTACTCTAGTCAATCAACAATTTTCTGACTCAATTATTATAATCCTTAGTGCCTTAGTAGTGAATATTCATTACTCTACTTACTTAACTAACAAGCTTCTACTCAACATTCCTCCCAGGCACGCGGGAGATTCAGTGCCAGAGCTGGATGGGCGAGCGAAAGCCTCCGTCGGCTTGGTCGGCGCGGGGTTGGCAATGGTGTGGTGGGACTTGGCAAGGGTGGCGCGGCTGGAATGACTAGGGCCTAGGGCTTTATACATATTATATATATATAGCACAGATACATTTAAAATAATATATGTATATATTATCTATATATATATTATATTAATTATATTGTGATTATAACTATAGTAACATAATAATGTGACATATAGTAACTATAGTTAATGGGGCTTTGCTTCAAACCTTGCAGGGTCTATCCATATGCTTACCGGGAAAATGTTGAAAAATGTTGAAACTATATTTTACCTTCAAACCATCCATGATTGACAGGGATTCATAATGAATACAATTGGTATGGAGGCTTAAATATATAATCATGGAGAACCCGTACTCTACTTAGTTGATGATTTCTGATGGGATCCTAACTATAATGATGATTCATTCTTGGCACTTGCTTCGTTTTTCATTGAATCATCTGAGTTGAGAGGTTGGTGAATTCGATTCAGGGACCACCACGGTTTTGGCAGTGCTGTCAGAACCTCCCAAGATATTGGATCAGCAAACCTTCTAAGATGGTGATGGAAATAGTGATTTTAAGATATCACTATATATCACTAATATCACATGATATCACCCAAAAATCATAAACTTTGAAAAGTGAGGATCTGAGCCAAGAAGCAAAGATCGAATTACCATGACACTGCTATCCGGTTGGTCCCAATTTGGAGGTCCTTCCCTTCCGCGCAGGCAGTATGGTGCCCTCCCTTCCGCGCTCCTTTGCAGCCGTAAATTGGGTGGACCTCGGCGCTTGCGCCGCGTGGCATCGCAGCTACCTCCATGACTCCGTGATACTCCGTGCACCCTGCGGTTCCGTTTGATGGTGACACATCCAGATTTGTAGAAATGCGGTAAACTAACAGTTTGCTATTGGAAATTGCCATTTATAGTGGATTTACCCATTAAAAAAAATGATTTTCCATAGCTATGTTAGTTTACCAGAGGGTAGAAATGTGGTCAACCCCCCAAAAAAAAACAACAAACCAAGCTGACCATCCCCAGTAGAGGTTGACTCCAGGCATCCCGACAAGAGCTGTGAATTCTGGGAAGTTCCAGGCCTAAACGCGAAAACACCGAGATGACAACAAACCATCCAGCCCATGTTTACTCCCTTTGTTGATGATCAATTCCCGTTGTCTCCCAAAATTTAATCCCCAAACAGTTTAAAGTTCTCTTTCTTATTGTTCTCATCCCACTAATCACATGTCACTTGACCCGAATGCACACATGACAACCGGCAAATAACCGTTAAATAAATATGTTCAGTTGGATGGCCAATATATTAAATGTGTCAACCATAAACCCAACAATGGATGAACAACCATATGGAAAAGTACAAACTGATACACAATATATAGCATAATAAATCACAATAGACATCTGACATAAACCATATACCACCAATCACAAACCATCAACATCCATCAACCATAACTTGGATTTGCTGAAGAGACTTCCAAAAAAATACTCCCCGCATCCCCAAATGGTGGATTTCCCATTGGGAAAGGACAAATCACCTTAAACAAATCCAAGATGACTTGATTTTCCCAGCTACAAACCTCCATTGACAATGGATTTACCGTTTTACCGTTTTACCTATATGATTCCATGAAATCCTAATGATGTTCCTATCATGTCCCATGATCTTTCCACATTTTCCCAGGATTTTCCCCAAAAATCCAAAAAACCGCAGAAACGCCTCGAGCGCAGCGCCAGCGATGCAGGTTGCGATGGGGGAGGTGACCTGATTTTACGGTGCGTTGATGGGGAGAAAATGGTGAGTTCATGGGAGTCAACCCTTGAAAGTTGGGGGAGTTGTTTAGGGTTTTTTTTAACTCAAAAAACACAACTTGATTATTTGCAAACGTTGTGATTTAGGCAACGAGGATTGAGGATTTTCTGGGATATGAATACAGAGAATGGGAGATATTACCAATAGCAGCATCAAATAACCAACGCGGCTACGGGAGGCAACCAGCAACAAACTGGTATTAGGCACAATGGTATTAAACAAAGCACTTTAGTGGGATATAAAAAAAACCAAGAACATGGGATGGTTTGGTGTTTCTGAAAAATGGTGGGGCAACCCCCAAATAGTAATTTAAAAAATGTTCTTCTAAATCATTGGGTTTTCTCTCTCTCATCATTGGGTTTTGGGACACACTATTCTCAAACAAACCCATCTATGTCAGATTAGTTTTATAAGCGGGCAAAGAGTCAGAGTTCTGAACCAAGGCTTGAAAAAGGTGCCTGGGATCCACCCATATTCACCAAAAAAGTGTAATTTGTCATTTGTAAAAACGAACTGGGATATGATATAATGCTGATATAATGGTGATATAATAATGGTGATATAATGGTGATATAATGGTGATTTAATGGTTATACAATGGTGATATAATGTTGATTTAATGCGACATAGTAGGAGTTCATCGGGATTTCATGAAGATTTCATGGGAGAAATCATAGTTAAAAAATGATGTAACTAACCATTGCCATGCAAAAAAAAAAATAGAATTCCAGTTATATACGTAAATAATAATAATAATAACAATAATATTAATAATCATAATCATAACATGACAATAATAATAATAGTAATAATATAATGTTGATATATGTCATTTCGTCAACGAACATGAGTATGTACTGGAACCACTGATGATTAGCAATTACCCTTCGATTTCAGCTGGTCCCCGAGCTAGTTATGGAGCTGGGAAACTCAACGGCCATGGGGGATTTTCCATCAGCACTACATCCCAATCCCCATGAAAACCTCTGGAAAAATCCCGATGGAAATCAGCCTTAAATCCCCATCAAATCTTATTGAACCATCATTAATGTGGGTAAGACAATGCCATTCGCACTATCCCCCAGTCATCACCATAAATTCATAGATAGGTGGGATTTCAAGCATTCCCAGTCATGGGTGGTTTGTGACATTGTTTTACCCACATGGAATGACATTATGACTGAATCATCAACCCCAAACCCAATCGAATCCCGGTGGCGGATCGCCGCGGATGTCCGGCATCTGCCCCGGAAGCTCCACCCTGTGTGATGAGTTTTCTCCGTTGAAAGATGAGGAAATGGCTGTGAAATATGGCTGTTTAGTGGCTGTGAAATGCGTGTTTACTGGGATTTTTCAAGCATGTTTAGTGAGATGTTGAAAGGGTGTTAGAGTAAATGGATGTTTTTTTTATGGGTGTTTTATGGGTGTCATGGGTGTTTAAGAGGTGTTTTTTTTGTGTCTTATGTGAGATTTAAATGGATCCAACCGGATAGGTGAAGCGGGGCAACTCCTCGACTCATCTTCGTTGAAAGATGCCGTTCCAGATTCGTCAAAGACTCGCCACTTGAAACATATGTAGTAGGTCAAGTTAATCACCCGTTTTCAGACGTAGCCAGGTATCAGAAGGTTAGTTGAGTCAGCTCTATATCCCACTAAATCCCCATCAATCTAAGTAAGTTGTTTCAATTCACCTGAAAAGTTCGGCTATATTGGGATAGGTCTCCCAATCCTATCCAATCCTAACATCATTGCAGCGGATCGGTGGATTTTTATACCAATTGATACCACGACTTGGGGGGGCGGTTGAGGTTACAAAAGGGTATAACGGTGTAACCATGGTTAAAAGACCCCATATATAAATGGGAAAAATAATTTGGATACAACCCCTAGAAGCCCTATAACATCCTATAAATATAAACTATAGTTATAAGTTATAACTATAGTTATAGTTATCCACTAAAGAAACTGGAGCTGCACTTCCCAGTGGTAACATCTGGATAAATCACCAAGTCAGCGGGCCTGTATCGCTGGGGACTATGTCGCACGGCCTCGGGAGGCCGGATCTCTGTGGGATGGCAGAAATCAACGGTTTCATGGGGATTCATGGGGGATATATAGATCAACGGGGAGATTCATGGATATCATTGGGATATAATATTATAACTTTATTGTAGATACTATGAGTCTGAGAGTCTGACTAGTGAATAATGGGGCTTATATATATATATATTGAATCATGATTAAAATCATGGTTTATAGGATTATTATGATCTATTAAACTAGGGTTCATGGCTTATGGCATGTAATTATAGGGATACTATATATATATAATTATATATATATCTCTCTCTCTCTCTCTCTCTCCATCTCTATACACTATACATGTGGGCTTCATCTTGTAGGTAAATCATCGAAGTCTAGATGGGCAAGTATCCATGGCTACCATCTGGTAACCAAACATGGCTTGCTGGACCTATGTTTGGATGATTTTCCCAGCGAACTAAACCGCTGAGTTCGGGGATTTCCCAAACAAATGTTTGATTACCGGAGGGCATCCGTCCATTGATCCTCGCACCCATATACCTGTTCAAACTATCTATACCGATAGATGCGCCTGTAAATGTTTGGCGATGAGATGTGATGCACTGATATCCATTGCGCTTTGGCTGGCTATCTCACGGGTGAATGGGAAGCCATAATCCAAGTGTTCAAACATCAAACTGGTTGAGCCCATAGGGTTTTCAAGTCGTAATCCTGAATTTCCATGCAACATCCCCAAATAGCTTTGCCTGAAAATAGGGCAAAACAACCAAAGTTCTTGATGGCTCCGACCCTCATGTTCATTTTCCCTATTGAAACGGCCATTCGGGGTGTGAAAACCGCCCATTTTTCAGACATCCAAATCTTCCAGCTGGTTCATCCACGGCCAAGCGGCCGCATTCACTGACACCAGCGACGCTGCCGTGCCTGGTTGCGGCTTCAATATGGTACAATCAGAGCTGCATTCGTCATTGGGGTCCAGAATACTTTCTTCAATAATCAATCAATTTATATACCTGGCAATGAGGAAAAAAAAGGTGAACAAACATCAATTCAGTTGACTAAATGATGTTCCATTTCTTGCCATGTTTGCTTGCCCCAGCGTCTCACTAGGCTGGTGGAAAAAAAAACACCAAAGAAACCTCCATCAGGTGTTTTTGACCAAATCCAATCCCACATCCAGAGTTAAAAAAACAACAACCATATCATCAAAACATATCAAAACCCAATGGCTGTTTGATGTTTCGCCATCTTACCCCAAGTAATGATAGTTTTTTTTCTCCCAGGCTATATAACCTGCTTTTTTGTTCCGAGATTCCTGGCATTTCCCCGATGGGAAACCAGCCAGGTTGTCCGGAAAAAAATGTGTATGCTTACCTGGTAACCAACATTCACATAATATTAGTGATATATAATAACCATAACTGTTTTTTGTATGGTAACCAACATTAACATCCAATAACTATGGTTTTGTGTATGATTTTTTCCGCCACAAACCATAGTGAAATTGGAGTTATGTTCAAACAGAACTATCGTTTAGGGGCCCTACCTTGTAAGTGTTAAAGCTCTTTGGTGCATGTTTGTTATCAACTGTTAATCTTACATAATTTAACTATATCAGAACAATCAGAACCTATTAGCTATTATGAAATAATATGTTGTCTATTATTAATAGTATATCATTGTATATTAACCATTTATGTCACCCATGTTAACGTGTTGGTGATATTTTTCCGGCTGCCCCATGCGCTGCAAGAACACCTGGTCGGGTCGGGGGAGGCGATGACTCTTCGGCCAGCACCTGAGGTGAATTCGGGGCTGGGTTGATGGGGGGATTACAATGAACTAGTCATGGGTTTGTAATACAACAAATATAGCTAGGGGGTCTCGCATTGTGGGGAAGAACTAATATTAGATGTCTAATTTCGACTTAGGGTAAGTTAGAACACCCCAAATACAATACACAAAGTATGAAGATCATGGGGTACTGCACCATATTGAAGGCGACGGGCACTTGGACTTGCAGGGACTTGCAGGGTCTAGAGTCTAGGTAAAAACTAGAATTCAAATTCTCGCCAAATCATTCAACACACACACAAACAAACAAACACACCCTAAATCCAAGGAATTCGAAAAATGGAGCCCCAAATGAACGGTTTCAAACTAAAGGATATATGGCAAACTATTAAGGCTCCATGTAAGAGTCTAAGGGCATAAGAGATTCCAAGGAGACAAAGTTATGTTTTGCTTACAGTGGTCCATGGGGTTACTGGGATACCAACATGGGGCTAGATACTGTACTCTTGCAGAAAACCACATGTATCTATGTTCTATATTTTTATAGAAGGTCAAATCATATTTCATGGGCATGGCCACAATTTACGCGATTCACCAAGCAAAACAGTTCACTGATCGTACTACGATGGGCCTCCCCTCTAACAATCTAGCACATTAATGTGGGTAAAACAATGCCATAAACCATCCCCCAGTCATCACCATAAATAGCTGGTATAAACCATTCCCAAATGGGTGCTGTATTGTTTTACCCACATTATGTGACTTCATCTTTACGTGTCAAATCTCAGATCGTTGTCATTTCTTTGCAAAAACACCCCACCATCTCCTGGATCCGAACTCTCCAAGCTCTTTTTTCAGCTTTCGAACTGTGTACGGAGATCGATGGAGTGAATGATTGGATACATCAATGGATTGGTTTAAGGGAACATCTACAGGAAGGTCGTGGCAGGCCGAATGGGATACCAAGTCACTATTTTCACTGAATCCTGAGCCTAAAAAAACCTCCATATCTTCATGGCAAAAAACATGACCCACAGCCACAAACCAATGAAAAACACCACGGTTTAACCACATTTTGATGGTTCAATTCAGATGCGCGTTTTGAACCTCTCCGCCTTGCCTCTTTCCCATCTTTCCCACAGAATTTGCGGCCCCAAAACCACTTCCCAGGCTCCCCAACAGTGGCGGTATGTCGAAGCTGATTGGACTTCAACAGCAGGCCCTGTTGCCTTGGAAGCGCTGGGTCTATTGCAGATCCAATGTGATTTGACCATCTTTTAATCCTTCCATGTTTTCACGTCTTTGGTTACCCTCCGGTAACTTAACATAGGAAAAATAACCCATGAACAGTGGATTTACCTATTCCAGGTGGTCTTGGTGAGATCCATCAGCATCAATAAAATGGCCCAAGCATTAACCATGGGCATATAACCATGATGTACATGTTTAAACATCGGTATATGGTGCATATATATATAGCAACTAATATAGTAGTAACTTGTTTTGCAACTATAACGTGATGTGACCTATTTTAGCCTTCTTGATGAGGATGAAATACCGAACACATTGCAAGTTCACAAGGGGTCTCACAGGTCCCGTGTCGAAGTGTTAAACTTTGAAACATGTTTGATTGAACTGGAATTTGCTGGATAATCCAAGATATCAAGGAATTCATTGGAATTCGAGATTGTTATGAGATATTCAATTTGTTCTGATTCCCTCCAGCTGGCGAAGCACATCCATATCCATGCTAGTAGCTCGGATCTCAAGTTTAGATCACTTTCCAAATTTGTTAGGAATATCAATTTGTAACCAAATGAAATACTTAGTATACATAATCATACATAATCCACCCTATAATTATAATTCATGTCACTGCTGGGCTGAGGGTCTGCATTAGCATTTGCCAAGCCACGGTGTTGTCAAATAACCACAGCCAAACGATGTTCCTTCTAGAAATGGAATCTTCTTTAATCTTCTTTGGAGGTTTCCTAAAAGAGGTCCCCCCAAATCACCCCAAAATAAACAATTTTAGTATTGACATGACCATGTTTTTTTGGGGGATCCCAAAATTTAGTACCCCCCCCCGTATATAGATATAGATAAGTACATACTATCTATCTATCTATCTATCTATATATATATATATGTATCAGTTTATATTGTGATTTGTAACTATTAAAAACATTATAGTAATAGCAACCATATAAATAGATTATCTCACCTAACTATAGCCTAAACTATCCTAAACTAAGTAACCCTATAATAATAAGATCTATCTCTTACACTCCCCCAATCTCAACCCCCCCTTTTTTGTGTCGCCCGGCGTGTCGCGCCCACGTGGCCTGCCACCTGGCAGTTGAAGATGGGTCTGGATCATGGTGATGAATGGTGATTTTAATAATTGCTGAATGATGGGTTAGTAATGGGTTAATAACTTCATAATAGTGAGTTAATAGTGATTAATTAATGCTGATTTATGGTGATTTATAGTGATCACTGCTGATAATTATGGTTAAGAATGGGTTGATAATGGCTCATCTTGGTTAATGGTGACTAATGATTAATAATGGTGATCAATATGGTATCGGAATAATATTGGGTCAATAATGGGATGATGGATAGCCATGATGATTTTTACTGATTATGAACGGTGATAAATGGTTATTAATGGGTCTGGAAAAAAAGGCTACACGTATATGAAAGGACGCATATCCTATGTATATAATTATGGAAGTCCCTACAGCAATCTGATTATTACAATTCACTAACCTGAAAGGTTTGGCTATTTGGGGATACTTATCCCATACTAAAAAGAGTGGTGAAATCCTAACAATATGAAAGTCAACTATCAGGATACCATTTTACTAGGGATCGGAGAACCAAACGCGCTTGAAACACTTTGAAACCACTAGCCAAGAGCGGAAGAAAAGTAACATGGACTCCCAACCAATGGCCATTTGAGCCTAGGTATATAGTATACTGTATTTATATTAAAGAACGCGCTCAGCTTGCCAGAGATCGGCACACTAAGCTTCCGGAATGGAGCTGAAAGATGCAAAAAAGGCACCCCTACCCGTGACAGCATCATTCAAGATTGCTAGTCTGCTAGTCATTGCGCCCCATCAGTCCATGGTTCTTCCCCCCTCTTGGTTTGGATTGCCATTGGTTATATTCATTGTCGAGCACTTGGGTATGCATACCAGCTCGCAAATGTGTCATCATCATACACTTCACTAACTCAGTTATATGAGGGATGTACCCAAGTGTTAACCTGGGTTATTTCTTAGAAACCCTTTGTATAGGTCACCACTTGATTTCTTTGGCCTATTTCTGGACATTTTAGAGATATCTTTTTCACTGCGCGAAAATCTTAGACATGATTCAAGTTTTGTCATGAAGGGTGGCCAAGTTGAGACATGCAGACACTGATTTGGTGATCACTGCCTGGGGATGGGGTGAATTTGGCCCTCCTGAATTGGGCAGAACATGTTTAGATATTTTTAGACTTCTTTAGTTGTTTTTAGCATGTCTTAGTTTGTTTCTAGTTTTTTTTTGCTTTTAGGTTTGTTTATATAGTGTTGTGTAAAGGAGACTGAGGCCACCAGGAAAACATATAGAAATCCAAAGAAACCTTGCATTAATGATTGGATGTAGCTTATAAGTTTTCATTGGGAATGGTGAGATGTTCAGGGGGCAGTCCATCAACAATGCAAGAGTTTGTTGAACCAACAGGAGGGTCCAGATTGGGAAGAGTGGAGAGCAGCAGGGACGTGATGGAAATCCCTTGTTGGGCCTTGTTGGGGTGTTAAGATCTTCAGGCTGGAACAGAGCAGGGGCACATGGAAAATGAAAGAAATATTCTGTGGAATTTAGTGGAATTTAGATTTCTATATTATAGTGGAATTTACTGGGTTTTAGATTTCTATAGGATTCTATGGGCTCTTCTAGTTGTAGATATTGCAGTGCATTCTGCAAAGAACCTATCAAGTGAAGAAGGTAACAAAGGGTTTGTATGATTGTTAACCACCTACCCTGTTGCAAGCTAAGATAGATATGAACACCCATGCTTTCCACAGGGAGTGATCTAAATTATCAAGACGGCTTTAGCTTTTCCAGTCTGACGAATTTTACCCACCATAGTGGCAATCCGCAATTAATCCAAGGGTAAATTTCGTCCGTTCCTGGATTATTAAAGTGACATTACCATTGTAATTGCCTTCATAAGTGGGAATTTACCCCCATACCATACCAATGAATTAATTATGATTATACATATATATATATATATTTAAATACATCCACAAACACACACACACATATATATATACAGTATATACCCACTTGGAACTTGGAACTGATGGTGGGTTTTCCCACATTTTCCGATCTTCCCCGATCTTCTCCCCATCTGAATTTCGGTGAATTTCGGGTCCACCACGGCATCCGTCCGGCACCGTCCGGCGGCCTTGCGAGGGCGGCCGCACCCCGCTGGGTGAGACGGGCTTGGCCGGCGGCAGCCGGTCGGTACCTCGCTCGTGCGATGACGGCGGGCGGCCCACCTCGCGCTTCAGCTTACCTGGAAGGAGGAAGGAGGCAGAAGCGGTGGTTGGTGAAAAAAACACATACATACAAATATATATATATAGTTAGAGTTAGGCAATCCCATCTTTTTGTGGGAATGGTCAGCCTAAAAACATAACAACAAAACAACAATAACAAAATCAAAACAACCTACTATCAATACAATCAACAACAAAATCAAAAACAACAAACAACAAAACAAAAAAAAACTCAACAAACTTAAGCAATACAATAGACCATAAAAAAAAGACTATACCATAAATCATAACAACAACCTATATACCCCGAGGCTTCCCCTATAGGGGCAGACTGTGGTAATATAATCTTCATTAAAAAATGATTATGAAAATTATGTTGATTATCTCCATAAATTTGATACAATAGTTCTGTTATTTTCCAGGACTATTTCTAGCAATTATGACTTCTAGAAATAACACCTATGAAATAGATAAGGTAAGAATATGTATATTTGTATATGCTTTGATGAAACTTATTCAATACAATTATGATGATTATATTATATTTTTTTACGGATGAGATGGATGAGATTGGTTGATATGATGAGGTTGTTATGGTTTATGTTATAGGTTTTATTGTTATATCTAAGGTGGAACAGACCTGTCTGGTTGTTTATCCAATTATGATTTGGTTGTATAATATGTGGGTGGGTCAGGGAAAAAGATAAGATAGGTCTGGCTCTAAAATTATTTCATAATTTATCTCAAAGTCCATTCCTTAGGTATAGGCTTTACAATTGGCTTTTGGATGAGGAGGGGGGCTATGCAGAATAGCTTGCAGAATCTTGCTTATCCAAGGCTTATCCACTGCTTATCCTTTAACTCTGGATAAGCCCTTACTAAGCCCTCAACCAGCCCTTAACTAACTCCCCAACCCCCACATCAAAATCCAGGTCAAGTCACTCTTGGACCTCCCAAACTTGCAATGAACTTCCAGAAACTCACCTTTCTTTCTGAAAATGATCATCCCATAGCTTATCCATAGCTTATCCAGGATTATCCAGAGCCCAACCCCATAGCCCCCTCCACTACCCCATGATATATTGCATCTATATAATAGATGTGTTAATGTACCCTCTGGTTCTTTAACGTAGCTATAGAAAATCACCATTTTTCAGTTCGGTAAACCATCTATTTCTATGGGCCATCTATTCCATGGCTATGTTAAACAACCCAAAGGGTAATTCTTATATGATCAATGAGGATTTTGGATGATGTGATAAATAACCTGTAGCCACCCAAAATTCCCTTCTCCAAAGGGCACTTGGAGGACCTAAAGGTGACCGTGGTCCATGTTGTGCTTGTGAAGCCCTTTCAAAACATATCGCAAACAAGGGGACTTAAAGGTCACTTTGAATGGAATGCTGCGCAGGTGAGAGAACTGGAGAAAAACAGCATACAATTTTCCAGATGTTCCTCTTGAAATTTGTCATTGGGGAAGGCCTTATCTCAACTGGTTAGTGGTTTCAACCCATCTGAAAAGTGTGTTCGTCAGTTGGGAAGAAACAAATGAAAACCCTAGCCACTAGCCATGTTTCCGGCCTTCAGTTCTCGTTGACTTGCACAAGGCACAAGGTCACGTTCCCTGCTTAGTTAAGTTGGCTTACTCAGTTTATCGATGTTTACGGTACATACCTTCGATGGGCACATGGGTGGGCTCTTACCCAGGAACCTTAAATAAGATTAGATAAGCATAGCATAGTTCTTGGGATTTGTAGACACGCCTACAACTATGGGGCACCAACCGTCTGGCTTCAGCATCTCGCCGGATACCAATCTGAGCAGCCCCGGCCAGACTGGCTACTTGTGGCCACGGCGACATCTACATCCGTCCTGGGTTGTGGTTGTGGTTATTTCTCATTTATAGCAACAAAAATAAAGAATGAAACGACCCATCCAAGGTTGGGGATGAAAAGGTTGTTAAAGCAAACATTGTGATCATATTATGAAGAGCGGGACTTCCAAGAGCGGGACTTCCACCCTAAAAAAAATCCATGGAATAGTGCATAGTGATAGTGTTAAAAAAAAACTGCACTCCCTCGCGACATTATTTATATACTCAAAATAAAGCAAACGTGTAAACATGATAAGGGCTTTGGACAATGATTCTCCAGACTTCGAAAAAAATCAAGTCTTAGGGTGATACCCTTCGGCACGCTGATTGGAGATAGCTATGGTGATGGTATTTTCCATTAAATCATTCATGTCTAAAAGAGGGTAAAACTCTGCCCACGAAACTAGTCATGTTTGGACATGTTCAACATTGAACCCCCTGAAAAAATAGAACATCAAACCCCCACAATAATATATGTGGTAAACAATTTGGTCTATCTTTTTTGGTGGTTACTATAATAATATTTGAATAACACAGGGTTGACGTTTGAGATTTGTTGGGTTGTTTTTCCCACTAGTGGGGGTTACTATATCCCAACTATCCCTAACTATCCCTATGGTTTTCCCATCCATTTTGGGACTTGATCATTTTCACCATCCATGGCTGAGGGCTCCCAACACCTCCTTCAGTTCCAGGTCTACTCGAGGCCGGCCGCCTGTTCTCACGGACGTTTTTGGGCCCAAATTCACCATCATCTTTCTGGGGAAGCAGGAAACCACCAAACCAATATCAACCCCCTCTGAAAAATATGAAAGTCAGCTGGGATTATTGTTCCCA